ATCCTCTCCTGCACTTTACTGATAACGCTGAGAAGTGATATAGGCCTGTAGTTTGTTACCAATGACCGTTCGGCTTTCTTGTATAGAGCTTATGCGAAAGGATCACGTGCAGGCGGCGTGTAGGCGGCCAAAGCGGCCGCGCTCCGCAGGGGTGGCAAAAGAGATGAAAAGTTCAAAAGAAGTACATGTGCCTGGAATAATTTCACGAAGGAAATTTCCTGTATCGCTGTTACGTTCCTCTTCTGTTCTTTACAAAGGACTATTGTACGAACGCTGAATCAGTGGCCATGACTTCTCCCAAGTTTTCAAAAGTGTATGACGAGTTAGATGACTCCAGCAAATGCCGGTACCGTGAAAAGCTCGAGCGCGTTTCACCAGACTCGAGTGATCCTTACCTGCCCAGAAGTATTTTTTTAGAGGAAGATAAATTTCCACTTGTGGACTATCCCGATATTTACAATTTCTTGGTCAACGCGCCCAGCCCCTACACCAAGGAGCAGCTCAAGGCCTACAAGAGCTTGGAAGGCTACAAATACCTTGTCAGTGGCTGGGTCGGCGATGTTCGTGCGTTTCCAGCGTCCGAATCTGACACATGTGACAGCAAGTTTGTCATCGCCAAAGTCCGCCATTCCCAGTCAGTTTCCGGCACCCATCTGCAACCCTGGATTGCTGCGCAAAACGACGGTAGCGTGATTTGTGCACACTGCACCTGCATGGCTGGTCTTGGTGAGTCTTGTTCTCACGTTGCTGCACTGTTGTTCAGCCTGTATTCTAGAACGCAGCTGATTCAGAACACAGGAAGCACTTCATTGCCGTGCCAATGGTCAACTCCTTCAATGAAGGAGGTGGAGTATGCCAGGATTCGTGACATAAACTTCACTGCACCCGACACTAAACAGCATGGGAGCAAGCGCCGTAGGTCGGAGGAGAAGGTCCCTGCTGATATTAAGCAACCCTCCAGTGCTGAGCTGGGTGAACTATATGGAAATTTATGTCAAGCCGGTAAACCGTCATTGCTCTCCCTTGTTCCCGGGTTCTGCGATAGGTACGTACCTTCCAAGCCCGAGGGATATCCACCCATTTTGGATTTATTGTACGAACCAGACATGCTGGATGCTAGTTTTGGGGACCTGCTCGTTCGTTGCGAGGCAGTATTTCCAGCGGTCTGTGTTTCAGAGGAGGAAGCACGCGCTGTGGAACAGGCTACGCGGAACCAGGCAGATTCCAAGGCCTGGTTTGAATTTCGCGCCGGCCGGATCACAGCTTCAAAGTTGAAGTCTGCTGTTCGCACGGATATTAGCCAGCCCTCTGCGTCCTTAGTCCGCTCTGTGTGTTACCCTGAGGCACACAAGTTTCGTAGCAAAGCCACACAATGGGGATGTGATCACGAGCAGAAGGCAATTGACAACTATAGTGAACATGCCAGTGCAACACATCAGAAGGTTGAAGTACTGCCCAGTGGCTTTGTAATTCATCCGGACTATCCATATCTTGGCGCTACTCCCGACTCCCTTGTGCAGTGCTCCTGCTGTGGCAACGGCGTGGTGGAAGTGAAGTGCCCGTACGGGTGCCGAGACAGTAGCCTGCATGATGCTGCCGATTCAGGGAAGTTCTGTCTAGTAAAGTCCGGCGGAGCACTCCATCTTAAGCAAGACCACATGTACTACTACCAAGTACAGCTACAGATGCTGGTGTGTAAGGTGCAGTACTGTGACTTTGTTGTGTGGAATGAAGGTCAGCTGTTTGTGGAGCGTATCTGTGCAGACACAGATTTCATCCGTGAAGCGGTAGCAGGTGCCAAGAAATTCTTCCAGTGTGCTGTTCTCCCAGAGCTTGTTGGGAAATGGTTCACTAAGACGTTCTCCACTCTTCCTGCCGATGCGTCTTCAGCGGCTACATCAGCCTCGGAACCACTTGGTGCTGCCAGTACAACATCTACTGCGTATCAAGAACGCCCTCCGGAGTTTTGCTACTGCAAGTCTGTGAAGGCTGGCGAGGTACTGCGATGTTCCAACAACGATTGCAGTATTCGTTTGTTCCACATGGCTTGTTTGCAGCTGAAGAGTAAGCCAAAGCGCAAGAACTGGACCTGCCCGGAGTGTCGCAAGATTAAATCTGCCACTAAATAATGATATGCATGTACAATTACAGTGGTAGCGACTTCGGCGACAAGTTTATAGGAATGTTGGTCGCTAAGTACAACGTTCGTCAGCCTACTCAAGCTCAACTGCATGAGGGGTGAATTCCCCGAAACACTGTGTATTGAGCAGGGAGTGGTGCTTTCTTGCAGGTTTGCCGGAAGGAGGGCTCGAGGGACTTCTTCTCTGCTCTAGATGGCAGTTGTGAGTCAGTCAAGTGTCTGGATGGAAGTCGTGAGTTTGTCAAGTTTCTGAATGGCAGTCGTGAGTCAGTCAAATGTCCAGTCAAGGCGGCAGAAAAGCTCGACCTCTAGTATGGGGTGCAACCAACTTTCCATGTACATAGTCATTTTTGTCGTAGCATTTGTAAATCCAAGTCTCAAGCATTTGAGAAGTGATTATATTCATGGAGCCTGCTATTCTGGTATTTCTAGAGTTGCATTTTCAACTTGTTCTGCTGTGCCTTCCACGGTACTTGCTGTTGCACTTGCCACGTGTGTGCATACAATCGGTGGCTGGGCTTTCACAACGATTTCCGTTACCTTTCTTGTATTTCTTTGCTTGCATGTATCTCTGAAGGACCATAATGCTGATTCGTATTTGTGGGTCCCAGGACATGCGTGAAGACCACTCACTGCTTATGCATGTGAACAGAGGAACTCCATCATTACACATCAAACACTTCGCTCTTTACGTCTCTTCCGGGTGATGTTGGCATAAGTTGAGTTGTTCTTTGGTGCTGGGCATACTACATAAAATTATTCTGATGGTACATCGCGCACTACCCAGCACCCTAAGTTGGGTTTCAGGGCTATTCATAATTATTATATTGTGTTGTCCCTATTTGGACCAGGAGTCATTATATTGATGCAACAAGAAACGGAGGCATGTCGTGAGTGATGATAGAAGCCAGTATTATTACTATTATTATAAGTCTGTTGGCGTTGCCATGACCAAGCAAGCTTGGCTAGCCAGACAAAAGAAACTAGAAACAAGCGAGGTCAATGAGGTGAACACATGCGCATGCAACTGCAGAATAGGTAAAACAGAAATATAATTGCCGGTATATCCAGACAGTCCAAAAAGCACAAAGGGTTAATAATAAATTTGAATAATAATATAATAATAATATAGCAATCATTACAGCTGACAAAGCGGCATGATGTAATTTACTCGAAAGGTACGACGGACTCACAACAGTTGCACAGAGCACAGCAGACGGTGACAACCTTGTCAATGAATGCACATGATGTAGCTTTATCGTCATGCATGAGGAAAGCAATGGGCAAAGTGCCAGAGAGGATCGTGTATTTCTGGCGAAGCATTCCAATCACTCGCTCCACATGGATACGGACGCGTGACACTTGTCGAGCACTGTCCAATTTCAGCCTGGAGAGTTGCTTCTTCCCCTTCGTAAATGGGGGCATCACCAACTCTGCGCAGAACATGCCAACGCTGTCTTCAACAGTGAAACCACGGTCAGCCAGCACCTGGTCACCTGGATTTAGGTGACTAAGCAGACCGCAGTGCTCTGTGATGAACTTGTCTGAGGCTCTCCCGCCCCATGCATGCGAAATAAATGTAATGACACCTTGTGGCGCTACGCCAATCAAAAACTTTGCAGTGTTATGGCTTTTATAGTGAGAGTACGTTTGAGCTCTTGCCATCAGATCAGAAGGTCGTTCACAAAAAACTTCAAAGCAGTCAATAATGACAGCACAGCCCGGGAAATGCTTACGAAATTCAAGTGGCAGAGTTTTGCGTAGTTCGTCCCTTTCCGGCCATTTGACAAGTGGTCCCAGCATCACATGCATCACCCGGATCCAGCGCTGGAAAATCCGGCACACGGTCGACTGGTGAATGCCGAATCTGTACGCCAAGTCTTGGTCCCGACAATTCAGCCGAAGCTTCATGAGAACAATCAAGAACTGCTGGAAGAGAGAGAGCGTGTGGCGGTGGTGCTGTGGAACTCTCTTCCTCACGTGTTCAAATATGCCCATCATGGTCCCAAAAGACTGCAAACCAGTGTAGAAGAGCACCTTCGCGTTGTCTTTCTCAAACGACTCGATTGACAAGGTGTCACCTTGTCCTGGAGCGTGTGGCATCCGTTTGCTTTCCAGGACCAAACAGTTGTTTGTCTCCTCCAGCCGCGTCAAGTGCTCCATATCCATGTCAGTCTGCGATGAGACACTGGAGACTGCTACAGGATCAGACTCTACCTCTGCACCATAGGCACCAGGCAAATCTGCCATTGCCTCTGTGAAGTCATTCCCGGAGGCGTCCACTTTCACTGGTGTCTGCGTCTTGCTCTCCTCGAACGTCAGCTTCCGCTTCGCTCGGCGTTCATATGCCACCAAATCCCTCTCCGCTTTACGCTTTACAGGAGTCCTGACATGTTCAAAAAGTTTCGGAACGTAAGCGGGAGATAGTGGATCGTTGCTCTTCTCTGCGCCTACGAAATGGTCTGAACAGATCCTGCTACTGTCAGTTGGCTTCCAATTCTCTCGTCTCATAGCCGCAACCCATAGTTTGCGCCGCTCGTCCGCTACAGGAAACTTGTAAAACTTCACAGCCGTTCCAGGATCGGCACGATTGCTACATCCGACGGCTGCACAACTCTTCGGCATGTTGAAGGCTAAAAACTTCAGCAAGCGAGACACCAGCGGAAATCAAAATAAAAGTGAGGAACGATATGTCGACAACCAACAACAAATTTTACTTTTCCTCTCAAAGACTAGTAAAAAATAGTTCAAGCAGAAACGACTTCATTTTGCCACCCCTGCCACTCGCAGCCGCCTTGGCGCTCCTCGTGACGTCATTCGCATAACCTCTATAGAGGTTATGCGAATGACGTCACGAGGAGCGCCAAGGCGGCTGCGAGTGGCAGGGGTGGCAAAATGAAGTCGTTTCTGCTTGAACTATTTTTTACTAGTCTTTGAGAGGAAAAGTAAAATTTGTTGTTGGTTGTCGACATATCGTTCCTCACTTTTATTTTGATTTCCGCTGGTGTCTCGCTTGCTGAAGTTTTTAGCCTTCAACATGCCGAAGAGTTGTGCAGCCGTCGGATGTAGCAATCGTGCCGATCCTGGAACGGCTGTGAAGTTTTACAAGTTTCCTGTAGCGGACGAGCGGCGCAAACTATGGGTTGCGGCTATGAGACGAGAGAATTGGAAGCCAACTGACAGTAGCAGGATCTGTTCAGACCATTTCGTAGGCGCAGAGAAGAGCAACGATCCACTATCTCCCGCTTACGTTCCGAAACTTTTTGAACATGTCAGGACTCCTGTAAAGCGTAAAGCGGAGAGGGATTTGGTGGCATATGAACGCCGAGCGAAGCGGAAGCTGACGTTCGAGGAGAGCAAGACGCAGACACCAGTGAAAGTGGACGCCTCCGGGAATGACTTCACAGAGGCAATGGCAGATTTGCCTGGTGCCTATGGTGCAGAGGTAGAGTCTGATCCTGTAGCAGTCTCCAGTGTCTCATCGCAGACTGACATGGATATGGAGCACTTGACGCGGCTGGAGGAGACAAACAACTGTTTGGTCCTGGAAAGCAAACGGATGCCACACGCTCCAGGACAAGGTGACACCTTGTCAATCGAGTCGTTTGAGAAAGACAACGCGAAGGTGCTCTTCTACACTGGTTTGCAGTCTTTTGGGACCATGATGGGCATATTTGAACACGTGAGGAAGAGAGTTCCACAGCACCACCGCCACACGCTCTCTCTCTTCCAGCAGTTCTTGATTGTTCTCATGAAGCTTCGGCTGAATTGTCGGGACCAAGACTTGGCGTACAGATTCGGCATTCACCAGTCGACCGTGTGCCGGATTTTCCAGCGCTGGATCCGGGTGATGCATGTGATGCTGGGACCACTTGTCAAATGGCCGGAAAGAGACGAACTACGCAAAACTCTGCCACTTGAATTTCGTAAGCATTTCCCGGGCTGTGCTGTCATTATTGACTGCTTTGAAGTTTTTTGTGAACGACCTTCTGATCTGATGGCAAGAGCTCAAACGTACTCTCACTATAAAAGCCATAACACTGCAAAGTTTTTGATTGGCGTAGCGCCACAAGGTGTCATTACATTTATTTCGCATGCATGGGGCGGGAGAGCCTCAGACAAGTTCATCACAGAGCACTGCGGTCTGCTTAGTCACCTAAATCCGGGTGACCAGGTGCTGGCTGACCGTGGTTTCACTGTTGAAGACAGCGTTGGCATGTTCTGCGCAGAGTTGGTGATGCCCCCATTTACGAAGGGGAAGAAGCAACTCTCCAGGCTGAAATTGGACAGTGCTCGACAAGTGTCACGCGTCCGTATCCATGTGGAGCGAGTGATTGGAATGCTTCGCCAGAAATACACGATCCTCTCTGGCACTTTGCCCATTGCTTTCCTCATGCATGACGATAAAGCTACATCATGTGCATTCATTGACAAGGTTGTCACCGTCTGCTGTGCTCTGTGCAACTGTTGTGAGTCCGTCGTACCTTTCGAGTAAATTACATCATGCCGCTTTGTCAGCTGTAATGATTGCTATATTATTAACCCCTTGTGCTTTTTGGACTGTCTGGATATACCGGCAATTATATTTCTGTTTTACCTATTCTGCAGTTGCATGCGCATGTGTTCACCTCATTGACCTCGCTTGTTTCTAGTTTCTTTTGTCTGGCTAGCCAAGCTTGCTTGGTCATGGCAACACCAACAGACTTACAATAATAGTAATAATAATGGCTTCTATCATCACTCACGACATGCCTGCGTTTCTTGTTGCATCAATATAATGACTCGTGGTCCAAATAGGGACAACACAATATAATAATTATGAATAGCCCTGAAACCCAACTTAGGGTGCTGGGTAGTGTGCGATGTACCATCAGATGTAGTATGCCCAGCACCAAAGAACAACTCAACTTATGCCAACATCACCCGGAAGAGACGTAAAGAGCGAAGTGTTTGATGTGTAATGATGGAGTTCCTCTGCTCACATGCATAAGCAGTGAGTGGTCTTCACGCATGTCCTGGGACCCACAAATACGAATCAGCATTATGGTCCTTCAGAGATACATGCAAGCAAAGAAATACAAGAAAGGTAACGGAAATCGTTGTGAAAGCCCAGCCACCGATTGTATGCACACACGTGGCAAGTGCAACAGCAAGTACCGTGGAAGGCACAGCAGAACAAGTTGAAAATGCAACTCTAGAAATACCAGAATAGCAGGCTCCATGAATATAATCACTTCTCAAATGCTTGAGACTTGGATTTACAAATGCTACGACAAAAATGACTATGTACATGGAAAGTTGGTTGCACCCCATACTAGAGGTCGAGCTTTCCTGCCGCCTTGACTGGACATTTGACTGACTCACGACTGCCATTTAGAAACTTGACAAACTCACGACTTCCATCCAGACACTTGACTGACTCACAACTGCCATCTAGAGCAGAGAAGAAGTCCCTCGAGCCCTCCTTCCGGCAAACCTGCAAGAAAGCACCACTCCCTGCTCAATACACAGTGTTTCGGGGAATTCACCCCTCATGCAGTTGAGCTTGAGTAGGCTGACGAACATTGTGCTTAGCGACCAACATTCCTATAAACTTGTCGCCGAAGTCGCTACCACTGTAATTGTACATGCATATCATTATTTAGTGGCAGATTTAATCTTGCGACACTCCGGGCAGGTCCAGTTCTTGCGCTTTGGCTTACTCTTCAGCTGCAAACAAGCCATGTGGAACAAACGAATACTGCAATCGTTGTTGGAACATCGCAGTACCTCGCCAGCCTTCACAGACTTGCAGTAGCAAAACTCCGGAGGGCGTTCTTGATCCGCAGTAGATGTTGTACTGGCAGCACCAAGTGGTTCCGAGGCTGATGTAGCCGCTGAAGACGCATCGGCAGGAAGAGTGGAGAACGTCTTAGTGAACCATTTCCCAACAAGCTCTGGGAGAACAGCACACTGGAAGAATTTCTTGGCACCTGCTACCGCTTCACGGATGAAATCTGTGTCTGCACAGATACGCTCCACAAACAGCTGACCTTCATTCCACACAACAAAGTCACAGTACTGCACCTTACACACCAGCATCTGTAGCTGTACTTGGTAGTAGTACATGTGGTCTTGCTTAAGATGGAGTGCTCCGCCGGACTTTACTAGACAGAACTTCCCTGAATCGGCAGCATCATGCAGGCTACTGTCTCGGCACCCGTACGGGCACTTCACTTCCACCACGCCGTTGCCACAGCAGGAGCACTGCACAAGGGAGTCGGGAGTAGCGCCAAGATATGGATAGTCCGGATGAATTACAAAGCCACTGGGCAGTACTTCAACCTTCTGATGTGTTGCACTGGCATGTTCACTATAGTTGTCAATTGCCTTCTGCTCGTGATCACATCCCCATTGTGTGGCTTTGCTACGAAACTTGTGTGCCTCAGGGTAACACACAGAGCGGACTAAGGACGCAGAGGGCTGGCTAATATCCGTGCGAACAGCAGACTTCAACTTTGAAGCTGTGATCCGGCCGGCGCGAAATTCAAACCAGGCCTTGGAATCTGCCTGGTTCCGCGTAGCCTGTTCCACAGCGCGTGCTTCCTCCTCTGAAACACAGACCGCTGGAAATACTGCCTCGCAACGAACGAGCAGGTCCCCAAAACTAGCATCCAGCATGTCTGGTTCGTACAATAAATCCAAAATGGGTGGATATCCCTCGGGCTTGGAAGGTACGTACCTATCGCAGAACCCGGGAACAAGGGAGAGCAATGACGGTTTACCGGCTTGACATAAATTTCCATATAGTTCACCCAGCTCAGCACTGGAGGGTTGCTTAATATCAGCAGGGACCTTCTCCTCCGACCTACGGCGCTTGCTCCCATGCTGTTTAGTGTCGGGTGCAGTGAAGTTTATGTCACGAATCCTGGCATACTCCACCTCCTTCATTGAAGGAGTTGACCATTGGCACGGCAATGAAGTGCTTCCTGTGTTCTGAATCAGCTGCGTTCTAGAATACAGGCTGAACAACAGTGCAGCAACGTGAGAACAAGACTCACCAAGACCAGCCATGCAGGTGCAGTGTGCACAAATCACGCTACCGTCGTTTTGCGCAGCAATCCAGGGTTGCAGATGGGTGCCGGAAACTGACTGGGAATGGCGGACTTTGGCGATGACAAACTTGCTGTCACATGTGTCAGATTCAGACGCTGGAAACGCACGAACATCGCCGACCCAGCCACTGACAAGGTATTTGTAGCCTTCCAAGCTCTTGTAGGCCTTGAGCTGCTCCTTGGTGTAGGGGCTGGGCGCGTTGACCAAGAAATTGTAAATATCGGGATAGTCCACAAGTGGAAATTTATCTTCCCCTAAAAAAATACTTCTGGGCAGGTAAGGATCACTCGAGTCTGGTGCAACGCGCTCGAGCTTTTCACGGTACCGGCATTTGCTGGAGTCATCTAACTCGTCATACACTTTTGAAAACTTGGGAGAAGTCATGGCCACTGATTCAGCGTTCGTACAATAGTCCTTTGTAAAGAACAGAAGAGGAACGTAACAGCGATACAGGAAATTTCCTTCGTGAAATTATTCCAGGCACATGTACTTCTTTTGAACTTTTCATCTCTTTTGCCACCCCTGCGGAGCGCGGCCGCTTTGGCCGCCTACACGCCGCCTGCACGTGATCCTTTCGCATAACCTCTTATATGTGGGCTCCCAGTGGCATCACGCCAGTCCTGTGGTTGTTCAGTGTTCACCTCTCCGAAATGACTCATTGAAAAGTCGGGAGAGTGACGGCGACAGGCTGACAGCTCACTCGCACCAAGCTGACAAGACCTTTTACACATTGACCATACACGCGTGCGAGATTTGCACAGGCCTGTTGTCCGTTTCAAGGCGTTTGCATCAGATCGATACACTGTACGTGCTGTACTTGGCGTGTTCTCTAGAAGTTTCGCTTGTGCCATCATCACTGCCATGCCAGTCGTAACAAAAAGCGGCCACATATCGTCATCTGCCCTCCTCCGCCTAGCTAGCTAGCGTACATGTAGATATTGCGAATATCTCCCCTCCGAGCGCTTCTCAGGGCAAAGACCACACTATACGTGCCCTGCTAAATGCATCGTGATAGGCGTCTACCATGGTGATTATCATGTGACATGTCATAATACTTACTGTAGTATGTTCCATGCCACCTGAGCCCTTCTAAATATATACAATCATGTACATCATAGTGATTAATTGATTATCATGTGACATGTCATAATACTTACTGTAGTGTGTTCCATGCCACCTGAGCCCTTCTAAAATAATAATATACAATCATGTACATCATACCTACAAGAAAGCCTTTATCGCAGACTTAGGCCTCTGTACCCCTGGTAGGACGATAATGACTGCAGACGCAGAGAAGGGTACTTTTTCTGGTATGTTTCATGCATGCTTGGGGTGTGGACAATTTTATGTACATGTACATGTATAAAGAAATGCAGCAAGGACGTGCCTACGGTGACGTTTATATGGTTCAGCCAGTTTCACTGCTTTCCGAGCAGAATCTGCTAATTAACGAGCATTATCCACCAAGAGCCAGCTGTGAGTAGTGAACGTACAACTATATTTTTTGTGGGTCAGAAGCCAAACATACATGTACTATCCACTCTGACCAGCAGCTAGATAAAAACGTGATCACGTTGAAAGGCGTGGTACATGGTCATTTTGTTGCCAGTGAAAACAGTCCATCTTAGAAAAGAAAAAAATTATAGCTGTGGCAGTCACAGGTGAGATTAACGAAAGTTTAAAAGTCCAACAGTGGTGCTGTGGTTTCAGTTGTTGTTGTTGTTGTTGTTGTTGTTGTTGTTGTTGTTGTTGTTGTTGTTGTTGTTGTTGTTGTTGTTGTTGTTGTCATCGTCGTTGCCACCACCGCCGTAATTGTTTTCGTCATCATATCGTTGGTGTTATTTAAGGCAACATCACAGAATGGCAAATATGCCTTCTTACATATACATGTATGTGACTATAAGAAGACAGATATCATGAAAAAGGAAGGAAAATAGTGATATTTGGCAAACAGAGGATGCTATGATCATAAATGTACGCGCATCACAGCAGTGTGTTATGCTCCAATGCCGCAGCAAGGCTCGTCAGTTCTGATGTTTGTCCCTACGCAAGTATCACAACATGAGGTAGGTAGGATAAGCTGGAGCTCCCAAGTAAGGAGCAATACCCAATACCACAATATCGTGAGTAAATGTCACACTGGGTCCACTCTTGGCCCAGTCACATTATAAACCATGAACTGCGGATCGATGCTCACAATTTCCTTGCATAGTGCAGGCTCCAAGCTGTTCTCGTTAAACTGTTTGGCCATCTCCTTCCGCTGAGCCGCTGTCTGCTCTTGGCTGGCAACCGCATCGTAATGGAAGCCACTCCGGTCAAACGTCAACGCCGTGAATTCTTGGTGGAAGTACTTAAGAAGCGTGCGGACTGCCATTGCAGCTCTTTTCCCCTTGATCTGCATCTCACGCACCTCAGTGTATGGCTTGAAGAGATGGTCCGTCCTGGGGATTTCCAGGGCAGCATAATAACCACTGGAAATGGCTTTCTCACGTGGCATGGACTCGCCCCAGGAAATGCAGACGCCTCCCGGGAGGTTGTTGGCATCCATAAGGTCCCTGGCTTGGAACCAAGGGAACGCCAGAACACGCTCAGTGCCGTTAAAGAGTCCATTTCCAGCCATGAAGTCAGCGCCGCGTGACTGGTATGTAGCCA